CAAGTCGAACTCTTTTAGCAGTAGCACCCATTGAATTAGGTGCAGCTTTGACTCCCTTTTCTCAATTAGGTACCTGAGGGTAGCATGGCCAATGTAAACAATTACCTTTGAGCATATCAGGTATGACCTGAACTTATCAAATGCGAACACCACAACTAGCATCTCTTTCTCTGTCACTGTGTAGTTCAGTTGGGCGCCGCTCAAGGTTCTACTTGCATAGTAGATCAGATGCATGACTTTATCTTTTCACTGCCCAAGAACTGCTCCAACAGCATAGTCGCTTGCATCGCACATCAGCTCGAAAGGTTGCCCCCAGTCGGGGGCCACTATGATTGGTGCAGTCACCAGTTTCTTCTTTAACTCCTCAAATGCTACCATGTAGACATCAGAAAACACAAAAGGGTGATCTTTTTCAAGCAGTTTACACATGGGGTTAGCAATTTTGGAGAAATCTTTTATAAACCGTCTGTAGAAACCGGTGTGGCCAAGGAAACTTCTTATTGCTTTGATGGAAGTGGGGGTGGTAGCTTTTCTATCACATCAACCTTTGCACGATCCACCTCAATGCTCTTACTTGACACTAGGTGCCCCAAGACTATACCTTCTTGTACCATGAAGAGGCACTTTTCCCAATTTAGCACCAGATTAGTCTCCACACATCTTTTTAGCACTCTTTTCAGATTTATTAGGCAATCATCAAATGAGTCTTCCACCACTGAGAAATCATCCATGAAGACCTCCATTATGTCTTCTACCATATCTTTGAAGATGGTCATCATGAACCTTTGAAATGTGGCGGGTGCGTTGCATAGGCCGAACGACATTCTCCGGAAAGCGTAGATGCCATATGGACAAGTGAATGACGTTTTCTCTCTATATTCCGAGGCAATAGAGATCTGCTTATACCCCGAGTATCCATCCAGAAAACAGAAGTGGGACCTCCCAGCCAATCTATCTAGCATCTGATCAATGAACGGCAAGGGAAAATGGTCTTTTCGGGTGGCCTTGTTCAATCTTCTGTAGTCCATACAAATTCGCCATCCTGTGACTGTTCTTGTTGAGATTAGCTCGTTGTTCTCGTTTTGCACAACAGTCATTCCACCTTTCTTTGGCACATATTGAACTGGGCTAATCCAATTGCTATCGGAGATGGGGAAAATGATTCCCGCATCTAACCACTTTATCACCTCCTTTTTCACGACTTCTTTTATGTTGGGGTTCAGTTTTCTTTGATGTTCTCTGGAAGGTTTGTGGCCATCTTCCAATAAAATCTTATGCATACAGAAGGCCGGGCTGATACCCTTAATGTGTGCAATGGTCCAACCAATTGCAGTTTTGCACTCTATCAATACCTGCAAAAGTTGTTCTTCCTACACATCTAAAAAACCAGTTAAGATAATAACAGGTAAAGTAGAGTTGGGTCCAAAGAAAGCATACATGAGATGAGGTAGTAGCGGTTTCAGTTTCAACTGTGGTGGCTCTTCGATCGATGGCTTAGCTGGAGGAGTATTTCTTTCTTCTAAGTGCAAATACTAATTTCGAGCTCTCTTTTCCAGAACCCTTGGCCTTCAAGAACCAACACCCACTCTGCCAAGTCCTCTCCATTTACTTCTTCTAAGTTCGTGAGACAGGATGTTCGAGGGTGTTTAGCATTCAGAGTCTCATATTCCTCCTCCAAAATTACATCCACAGCTTCTATTAGAGAGTAGTTAGCAAATTCACTTGGTCGCCACATAGACTTCTGCACATTGAATGTTATCTATTCACCATTCAGTCTCATTTTTAGCTCTCCAGTTTCACAATCAATCAATGCTCTCCCAGTGGCCAAGAATGGTCTTCCCAAAATTATGGGAATCTCCTCGTCAACCCGGCAGTCTAGAATGACAAAATCTGCTAGAAACACAAACTTTCCAACTTGCACTAGTACATCATCAAGGATACTTGATGGCCTCTTCACTGTCCGGTCGACTAGCTGTAGTAACATGGATGTGGGTCTTGCTCTTCCAATGCCTAACCTTTTGTAGATAGCCAAGGGCATCAAGTTTATGCTTGTCCCCAAATCACACTATGCTTTAGCAAAAGCATAGCTGCCTATTGTGCATGGGATTGTGAAACTCCCTGGGTCTGACAACTTCTCAGCTATGGGTCTCGTCATGATACCACTACATGTATGGGTTAGGGTAACAGTGGCCAAGTCTTGGAAGTCAAACTTGTGAGACATCAAATCCTTCATCATTTTAGCATACCCAGGCATCTCCCTCAAGGCGTCAATCAGTGGAATGTTTACCTGGATTTGTTTCAACATCTCCATGAATTTCTTATACTGCTCATCCTTATGATATTTGGCCAATCTCTGTGGGAATGGTACTGGAGGTCGCTTCCTTCTAGTGATTTGAATCTTATCCTGCTCAGGCACTGCTTCTACTGTCGTTTCTTGTGCTACTTCAGTCTCCTTCGCAACCTGTTTTTCTTTGCTTGTGCTCTCTTGTGCATGTTGTATCATCACCTCAATTAACCCTGTTGAATTATCTACCTCAATGGGTACTGGCACAAGTATTTCAGTTGGTCGGCTTTCGCGAGCAATTTCTTGCTCTAGATTTAGGTCTCTACTATTTCTTAGACTCACCGCCATCAGCTGTTTCGGGCCCTGCTCTTTTGGATTGACTTGTGTGTCTGCCGGTAATGTCCCTTGGGGGCGATTATTCAGAGCCATTGATATCTGTCCTAATTAAATCTCAATGCCTTTTATCGCTGATTCATGTGTGTCCACTCTCTCTTGCATTTTACCATTAGACCCAATCAGTTGTTGCAACATTCCTTTAATTTCAGACAACCCATCTTCTTGTCTTACTATTTGCTGTTATTGAGGCTGTTGAAAGGCTAGCTGCTGATTTTGCTGGTTGTATCCCTGTTGCCTTTGGTACGGCACAACTTGACCCTGTGGTCGCATAGCTCCACGATTGCTGCTATTATTGTACTACTGATGTGATGGTCTATATTGTTGATTCTGTTGCCCCCAATTCTGACCACCTTGCCTTTGTCCTCCATAGTTGGCCACATAGTTCATATCTTTCTGATAGTGCTGGTTGTCACTTTCCGCACTCCAAGAGCATACATATGATTGGTTAATGCATGGTGTACATAAGCCCCCATTAGTCGCGTCAATTATGTGTACGTACTGCTTCTGGACTGATTCATCAATCTTTTTGGTGAGGAACTCATTTGTATCATCAGAGTGGCCATATTTTCGGCTATAGAATTATTTGGGTCCAAGGCCACTGAGTGAACGGCATGCGTGATTGTAGAGCCTCTTGTCATCCATCCCGAGTTTTGAGCCATTTTATCAAGTAGGATCTTGCATTCTCTGAATGATTTGCTCAAAAATGCTCCACCTGCCGAAACATCAACATTGGCCTTTAAGCTGTCTGCCAATCCCATGTAGAACCTCTTCCCCAACATCTGATCTGGAATGCCATGATGAGGACACTTAACCAGCATACCCTTGAACCTCTCCCACATTTCTTGTAGTGTTTCTGTTGGTCTCTGCCTGTAGCTTAATATCTCATCAATTTGTTTGGCAGTCTTATTGGGTGGGTAGAACTTGTTCAAAAATTGCTTGACTAATTCCTCCCAAGTAGTGATGGAGTTTATGGGGAGTGAATTAAGCCAAGTCTGAGCCTCTCCCATCACCGAGAATGGAAATAATAACAACTTTATTGCTTCCGGTGTCACATTAGTTTGCCTTTGCATGACACATATCGACAGGAAATTTTTCAGATGCTGCTGAGGATCTTCAATGTAAGACCCTGAGAACAGTCCCTTGTTCTGTAACAAATGTATCATGTTGTTTGTGATTTGAAATGATTCCGCTTGAATTTGAGGGACTGCAATTGCGGTTGCCAAATTTTCGGCGGTGGGTTGTGCCCAATCATACAATGCTGCTTTTAGCACAAAAGGCACCACACCCTGATTGTTCGGGTCATTCGCATTATTTCTGTTGTTTAGATTTTCTATTCCGTCATCCATGTCTGGTTCAATTTGTTCTGTTGATGTTTGCCCTTCTTGTTTGCATGATTCAGTGCCTTGAAAACTTTCTCAAGATCTAATAATGCTTCAAACAATTCATCAGTTCTTGAAGAGTTTCTAGGCATGTACTTGTAACACCCAAGACTACAAACGTTAGAATTTCAATGTATTTAGTTTAAAAATGAGGAAAATTGACTACACTAAGAATTCTAGCACTTCTTTTAGCTGCAATTAATAACACCGTTAATTCCCCGGCAACGATGCCAAAATTTGATCACACCCAACTATGCCTTATAAAAAGGACTAAGCGGTCATTGCAAATATATTCTGGTTAACAAGTCCGGAGTTGAATCCCACAGGGAATTAACCTATTAAGCACAGCTACTAGACTCGCACAAATTCATGCAATCAATATTCAGAAATATTAAAATAATAAATTGGATGCTTATTAACTAAATAACACGTAATGAAAATGCAGTACTTAATAACTAACTACGAACAAGTTATAGACAAGAATTGGAATGATCTAAGATTTTGATTTTCCCTATTGTCGGAATCCTTTTCGCTACGTTTCCTATAAATTTGCCTAAGTTTTCTCTACCGATCATGAGCTCTCTGAGTGTCGTAATTCTTTTCCGAGTAACTACCACAATTTACTAGACATATTCTCCTGAATTACGCTAGCTAGCACTAAGTTACGGCTCACTCGGATCGCACCAAGGTTTCGTTATTCTTAATCCCATCTTTAAACCCTCCGTATTGATCCCCCATATACTTTAGGAGTGATGTTGTTCAATAACTACCTAAATATGCACTCTCTTCCGAATAATACACACTAAATAGGCACAGTCGATTGAGAGCTCTTCAACCAACCACAATAATAACGTAGTTGAACTAATAGAGAAAATACTACGGGAAATCTATATTAATGTAACAGGAAAATCATCCTCCAATTGGTTCCATCAAAACCCTAGATTAGGAGTTTAGCTGCTCATACTCATAGTAACAATATCCCAAGTATTTTTCATAAATAAATTACAAAGTAAAGATGGAGGAATGTAGAAATCGATGATTTTATCTCCCAACTGGTGTTCCACGAGTTATTCTTGCCTCTGGTCGCAAAAACTACTTCAAAAGTGGTGTTTTATGTCTATTTATATGTGTAGGAAAAGACCTAAACAACATAAGTCAAGTCCTAGTCAAACCAGGAGACGAAATAAGCCTTCAAAATCCGGAGTAAGCGCGCCTCAGACCATGCCTCGCGAGGCTCCATGCGAGATGAACCTCGCCTAACACTGTACGGCGCCAGCTCCCACGCGAGCTCGAGCTCGCCTCACCCTTTGCGACACCTGATACTACACGAGCTCAGAGGCTCGCGTCACCAGCTTCCACGTGAGATCAAAGGGTCGCCTCGCGAGCTTCTTCATCTTTTTACTGCTTAATGCATTCTTTCTTCTTTCCATAGTTTTCGAGCACACTTTATTCTTTAAATCTTCCTTTTTCTCTAATTTCATCTTCAATTCACCTACACATAAAATAGACCCAATTATGCGTAAATAAAGTGTAGTTTAACATTAAAGCACATAAAATGCAAGGTAATTAATATACTAAAATATAAAATTATAGCCACACATCAATAGCGTCACGATCAAGAGAAAGTTTAGTGATGCACCTATCTGGCCTATCTTTTTGAGGACTTTCATCAAACAATTGGACTTTGCTGCTTTCAGGACCCATAGCTTCTTCATCGAGCATGTTGATTGGAGCATATGATTGCACCTCAACGAATACTTTGGCGCATCCACTATGTAACATTTCGTCGAACACCTTAGGTGAGTGATTATCAGTTGCGAAGTGAGAGACACCGATTGTTGCAACTATGCTTTGGATCACTGTTGTAACAGGATAACTTTCCTCTACTGCTTTGAAAAAGACTCTAGTAGACATTTCATCGAACATATGTTTGCCCTCTGAGTTTTCATGTTTAAATGTGGATTCAAACTCAAAAAAAGATGGAAACACGAGTCATAGTAGTAAGAGGACTTCCCTGGGTCCTTAGTAGTTCTAAACCTTCAAAATGATTAGAATAAAATCGGAGATCGGTCGAACACCCTATCGAAGCAGGGGGGATCCATCTGTGATAATGCAGCTTCAATTTCTCCGTAAAATGCTTCCAGTCGATAAATTATTTGTTCCGATAAAGACACTGGAACCATGCTAAAGCTTCGCCATCCAAGTAAGATGATGCTAACGAAAGCTTAAGGTCGTCGACGATGGAGTAAAACTCAAAATACCTCTCTGCCTGTAAAATCCAAGACTCTGGATTTCCACCGCGAAACCTCCTTAATTCCATTAGATCTCGGAGTGGAATGGACGTCGTAGCCTTTTTCCCCACTAACTTCATTAACATCGAACGAATATCAACAAAATCCTTAGAAGGAAAATCCTTCATTTCTTGTAGTGAATCACGAATCGAGTCATCAACGAAAGCCTTGAGTAACTTTTGGTCCTCCATTAGAGACCTCTGGATGAAAGCACCAATAAAACAAACCAAATTCTCAACACAAACACAGACTTATATATATTATATAATCACTAAACTGAATTACACAAAATAAAAAATATTGACGAAAAGAAGAACAACAATCAGCTGGAAATTAAAGGGATAAAGGAGGGATAACCAGAACGGGATGAGAAGTATTAGAAGAAGAACATAGATGGGAAAATAGAACTAACACTTAATAATTTTAGCATAAAGAATACTCTACGCCCTTTGCTATATTTATAACTGTCTTTTTCTATGCTGCCCTTTCACGAACTTAGCATATGTCTGCACTCAACCTGGGCCCCACACATAATTATTCAAAATCCCAAATATGCCCTCCACCGAGTCACTCATAGAGTTCACAACACGATACATGTTATTTTTCTTGTATGATGGTCAAACACCGCTTGTGATCAATGAAAACTAATCTATAAAAATCATAATCAAGGAAAAGATAACTAGATTTACTAATTATGTTTAAACCAATATGTTATTTTTGGTTCACGAGTTAAAATAAATATAATATTCTATTTATTCTTAACAGTTTGTTTAGATGGTTGTTACATGTCGTTTCATATTGTGTCATATTATATTATATTGTATTATATTGTCTTGTTTGATGAATACAATATTTGCATAGATTGTATCGTTTGTCATCATTTTATGATGTCACACACTAAAAATACGAAGAACAAACTTGCAACATTACTAAGAAAAAAATTAGAATGCGAAGCAGAATTATTATATAAAAAAGTTGGGTAAAGGATAAAATATAATTATTTAATAATAAAGAAAGGGAAAATCAGAGGAAAAATAAGGTAACGACGCCACCACACCAAATTAGTCGTTACATAAAGTGGCACTTTTCGTCATTACATTACGACGGATTTAACGACACATTACAATAAAATTTAAGTAACAGTCAAAACAAATATTGTATTTAAAGTAACAATACGATACAATATAATAGGTAACAACCGTCCAAACAAGCTATAAATGTGAAAATGAAAGTTAATTGAATTTGTGCATTGTACTATGAAATATTCTCTCATTTAAAAATAGAAAATCTCATAACAAATGGAGACAAATATTTTTTATAAGGCAGTCATTTATTAGTATGCGTTTGGATAATATTTGATTGATGTAAAAAACATATGAGTATTTGAAGTTGTGTTTAGAAGTTGCAAAATGCGTTTTGATACGAAGTTCAACTATAAAAAATTTAAATTTTGTAAATTAAAATTTATTTCACTTGTAACACTCGTCAAATTATCTTTAATTTTTTTCAAATATTGAAGTTTAATATTTGCAAATATCAATGACCCAAATCATTACTTGCAAATATTGAAATTAATGTGTCTCGACATACCCTATTAACGTATCACTTTGTAAGGTTGGTGATGGTAGGCTATAATCTCATATTTTAGTCGCTTATCGCACTCTAATTTACTGGACTTTAATTGAGTTGGAACTTTAATCGCTAGTGTTTTGCACTAATTGTATGTTTTATGCCTTGTATGAGTGATTCTGATCTATGTAGATATTATGAAATAAATTCAAGTTAGTCGGGAGCTTTGAAATCTGAGTAAAAGTCCAAGGATTAAGTCGGGGTCGTGTTCGGGGATCAACAGATGATAGTGGAACGAAATGAAGAATCGAGCAGGCATATTGTGCAGTGTCCAGTAAAATGCACATAACTTTTCTCTCAGAATTTCGTTTGGGCTCCACAATATATCTTTGGAAATATATTTAAAGGGGCTACAACTTTCATGTTTTACGTTTTTTCAAATTCCCAATAGAACGCCACCCACGTGCACAGCCGCGCACTGGCTGCGCATTAGGCGCGCATATAAGGCAGAACATGGTAAAAAAGCGTGTCCAAGTGTGCGGGCACACTTTCAGGTGCGCGGCCGCGCACGTCCAACTCCAGAAAAATGTCCTATTTCGCGAAGGAGAAGGTGTATTTATTTGGGCTCGACCCTACTTGGTATATATACATGAAAAATGATATTTTGAGGACTTTTGACATTATTTAGACCTAAGGAAGCTAAGGAGAAGAGGGAGAAGCAAGAGCACAAGGATTTCATCATTCATCCTCACTCAAGGCAAGGGTTTGGATGTTTTATGTTTTCCTTTGACTTAAACTTAATTGTGATGAATTTCTCCATATCCATGGAGTAATTCTTCCTTAGGGACTGATGGATTTGGTGTTTTGAGAATTGTTTGTAGATATTAACTATAACTTTATGTATTGAAGCGTTTTGGGTATTTTTATTGTTGCATATATATTCACTTGTTTATGTAATCGAAAGAGGCATAATTTGTGATGTTTTGCATTATCTTATTGGTTGAATTCATTGATTCTTGTTAGTAATCAAAAGAGGCTGATTGAATTATTGTTTAGACCCAGTTAGGAAGATAATCGAAAGACGTTCTCCTAAAGACTAATCCACTACTAATTCTTGTATATCTTCACCAAACTTAACTTAGCTCATATCGTAAGGTTGAGACTTAATCAAGAAAGGAGTTTCTACTGAATGTTTGAACATAATAGAGTGAATTCGAGAGACTTGCTTGAACCATATAAGTGAAGTAACTAGAGTTAATTCCCAAACAAGTATCTTACACCTATCCAATTAACCCCTATTTTCTCCCTTTGATATCTTCTTGCTTATTCTTATTGCGATTGTCATTAGCCAATAGTTTAGACTTTTAGTAAATTTTAGTTTTAAATCACACAACTCTAAATTATTGATCATCTTGGATAGCAATTAAAACTAGAAGCTACGAAAACACTATTTAAATTCAATCCCTGTGAATACGATATTTTCTATATTATATTTGACTAGCGAGCATAATTTTATGTTGTGTTTTTATCTCGTCAGTTGGTCTAAGTTACTTATCAACAAAAGAAAATCGTTTATTGTTTATACGATTCATTTATTCGAAGTTCTCCACATCCATTATTGAGAGATCTTAGGTAGTGATTTTTTTATTTGTTATTTCTTTCCAGTAGGGTGTTGATATTAATTCTCAAGACTTGAAGATTTAATTTGACATGGCAAACAATAAAGAGGAATTTTCAGAAACCACTATAGTTTAGTGGCTATTAACGTCCTATAACTATCATATACATATTTACTCTCTATAGCTCATATTTTGTTGCTACCCGACTGTATTCGTTGTATTCGTGCGACTATATTCATGAATACATTCGGGGAATTCGCCTAAAAAATAGGGAGTCCAGCTGTTTAATAACGGAAAGAGGAATCAATTAGCATGTATCACTCCTAAAAGATCTCCACACAATCAATTCAAATGCGCCTCATTAAACTTTACAGTATAGATCGTTCTTTTTAATTACCCTGATGTATTCGATGTATTTGCATTTCTGTATTCATAAATACAGTCGTGTAATTCGTCTAATAAATAGGGAGTACAATTGTATAATAGCGGACAGAGCAATCAATTCATGTGTATCACTCCTAAACAATCTCAACCCAATCAATTCAAATACGTCTCATTATCATGCCATAATTAGAATATTTTCCCGGACGTTCAACAAAAAAAATAGAGCATTGTATTTAGCGTTAATGCTCTGATTTTGATTCCTTCCTTCCATGTTTGTTTATTTTGTTAAAGATTTTATATTTCGATACTTGAACTTATGTATACATTGATTGTATGTATATGTATATATATGTATTTCCATTGGTAACATATTGTTGTACTTAACTCTGTATCATAAAGTGGATATAGGACATGCATATATACAGTATGTATATGTATACATCCATACATGTTATATGTATATGGATGGTGTTAAACACAACTAGGATATGAATACAGGTGTAGATTTTGGAATCAACTATTCTGAAAATCCAACAAAATACATTCATGTATCTAGAACAAAAATTGCAAAAAAATCATAAAAAATTTAGTCATAAGCTGAAATACAATCTAGAAAACATAAAACTATTCAATCATTATTTTTACATATGTATCCGATTCTGTGATTTACGTAACAATATTTGCTGGTGCTTCATTATCGCTCATCGCCTCAATATCTAATTTCCGCATATCATAGTCCCAAAGGAATGCACCATATCTTTGCCGGAAAAAATTAGGGTCAAAGGCTGTTTGTGGAACTAATCCACATGTAGTCAAATACTCTGCATATGCTTGAGTAAATACTCTGATGAAGTAGTAGGGTGTTCAACAAATTTTTTTAATTCTTGTATACAAACACCACAAAAGTATATACATGCTTGAAATACATATAAAGCAACTAGGTGGTTACAGTAATTTTAGTGTATTCAAAACATATGGCTTCTGACTTCAAATACATATAAATACAAGTATATTTGAATATATTATTTGCATAGCATTCAAAATACAGTAGAGACAAGATACAAAGCTTGAATCATGAGAATAGTTGATAAATTAATATTGTTAGTGTATTCGAAATAGTTATTTTTTGAATTCAAATACAGATAAATACAACTATATACACAATAACAAAAATCTTTTACGAACTAAATTCATTGTATGAGGACAAACACCCAGATATCTCCAAACGTATAATGTATAAAAAAATAAAAAAATTGAGTCTATGTATATATAAAAAAGACAGAATATGAAACACCAAACATACATGTATGCAAAAATAAGATACACCAACGTATACATGAATACTAAATTTGTATCATTATATCCCAAAATACAAAATATACAAAATACGAGCTTGAATCAAGACAATATTGATACAGAAATGTTGGTGTATTTAAAATTGTTGTTTTTCGAATTTTAACACATATAAATACAACTAAATACAAAGAAAATACAAAATTATGTATGAACTAAATTAAGTGTATGAGGACAAACAAACAGAAATACATGTATATTAAAAAACATACAGAACTTGCAACTGTGGCTCTTTTCAAGGATCTTGCATCTTCAACTTGTTTTATAGGGTCATTGCGTAGTTTGGTTCCCCCTCGGCTTCAATGGTTTATGCAGACCCTGCAAATACAGTTTTCTCTTGAGTGATTTGCAAATCGAAAGATGACACATCAAAATTGAGGGCTTTAGTGGGTATACCTCATGTAACCCTCTTCGGAGTTCTTGAATCATCCATTAAAGACACAAAATTGAAGTTTCTTCCTCAAAAACCTAACAATGGCGAAAATTAAAAAGGAGAATGGAGAGAAAAAAGAATGGCAAAGTAGAAAGCAATAACTGGCGAAAAG